TTATGGAAACAGGTTCGTTTTAAGGGTGAGAGTAGAAAATAGTATATTCTACTACAAGGGCAGAAAGTTGAATTTTCCGCGCAGGACCGAGATTTCAACGTTTGGCCCGTGTGGTGCATACTATTTTTCTTCATACATCGGTTGAAAGTACTTACTTTCGTCCCTAATAGCAGGGACGAAAGTTTACCTCGGTCGAAAGTAAGTACTTTCGTCCCTAATAGCACAGGGAGTAAATGTTACACTTTCGTCCCTGCTATTAGGGGCGAAAGTAAGTACTTTCGAACAAGGTATGAAGAAATAGTATATTACACTACAAGGGCCGAAAGGCATTAACTTTTATTTCCTGTGACGCGCAGGGCCGAAAATTAAACTTTCGGCCCTTGTAGTGTAATATACTATTTTGTCCTGCATTTTTAAAATTGCGAACATTTTAGCGGATATTTTTTATATTAATTTCTTTTTGGCATTAGAATTCAAATAAAGAGAGCACAGGAATATATATTTACGGCATGTAAAAACTAAAGTAAACTAAAACAAGCAATGTTTTTACTAAACTTTTTACGGAAAGGGGTAAAATATCCGCTTCCGCTTTTTAAATATTGCATCCTCCGCTTCAACTTTTATTTATTAATGTTAGGATATTTAAAAATATTAACAGGAGCTTTGGAACTCGAACATTTTTTGAAAACTTGTTAATTAAATATGTTTTTAAACATGAAAACATTACTAAAATAAAAAAGATTAAAAGAAAACTGATTTAAAAAATTTATTCATAAAAAATCGTCAATTTTCATAGTTTTGTTAATTCGACATTTTCAAAAACAGAACAAGGTACGTTTGTTTAACGGTTGTAGACAATGATGTTTGTTATATGAAGGAAAGGTTTTAGACTTTTATTGCAGTAGTATTTTTAATCACGAGGTTTCGACTTGTGAGTATATTCAGTCGTCTTGAGGTGAGTATCTCCCTGAAGTAGAAACGTCGTAATTAATTAAAATTACTACGGCAATAGAAGTCCAAAAGCTTTCCTTCGTTCAAGAACCAATTTATATTTTATTTTTTCTACTCCCAACTTTAAAACGACCATTATCGTACATGTTTACATGACACTAAGTGACCTTTTAAATACACAAGTTGATAGTTGTTAAATGTCAAACAATCGTTAAAATAAAGTGGCCATCTTGTTAAATAATATTAAATGTAAAAATTATTTTATTAACTATTATTTTTTTTTTATTATCTATTAATAATAATTATTATTATTTTATTATTATACAAAAATATTAAATAATTTCTCAACGCAAATATTTAAAAAATATATATAAACATTGTTCTGACCTGTTAATTTCGCCGGCAGTAAACTATATTTAACTTAATCAGCTGGAGACTCCACCGTGGAGTGCCAATAAAACATTTGCTTTACTTTCACTGTGAAACACTGATTTTATATCGGATTAAAGAGTTGTTTTATAGATTTCGCTTTATACAAATATTTAATTTAAATAATTTTTTCTGGGTTAAGTGGTAGAGCAGGGGATAATTTTTAATCTATCTGAAATCGCCCAGATGTGTAAATTTTGTAATCTCGGAAATTTAAAAAATAAATAAAGACATTTATTATTATTTTTATTATTATTATAATAAGTATTAGTCGTAGAAAAAAACTTTAATATTTTAAAGAACTCATGTCATAAGACCTTTTGTCGCACTCCTCCATTACAAAACTTGCCCCTTTGTCGCTCGTTTTATAAATTTTCCGCGTGCGACAAAATGACGTCTTATGACATTAGTTCTTTAATATACTAATATCAAACTTATTACATTGCATAATGTTGGGTTTTTCCGTAAATAATGATACTTGAGGTTTGACAGATTTGACAGATGTCAGATTGTATTTATTTTTAAAAATCATTTAATTATCTACTTATTTGAGTAGATTAAGTATAGTATTACTCTCTTATTTGCCTTATTTACCAGGATACCATAAAACATTGAAACTACATAAAAAGAGCAGCAGTAACTTTTTGTTCTATAGAATGTATACATTTTCCTTTTACGAGTTTTTAGTATGAGTGGAACAAGTTCGATAACATTTTTTGGCGAATCACAAATTAAGTGTCCAGACAAAATCAATATTGTCCCTTGGAAAATAAGAAAAACAAACTTAAAGTTCGAAAGTAATTTTTCGCATTAACTTTGCTTTAGGTACACCAAGGGACAAAAGTAAAGAACAGTTACAAATTTTAATTGCTATGTGCATATATAGTTTTCCAGAGTATAAAACTTGAATGCAATCACCATATAAACCCTAAATGGAGTTGACAAAGGCAAAAATCTCCTAAAATTAGTCTATATTTATTTAATTAATTGTTTCGACTTTTACTTGATGAAACTCCATGTTGATATAATTTTAATATAAACTACACTGTTTAAAAGTTTCACTATTTTATTTAAATAAGACAATTGTTTCGATACACAGTACATGGTACATGGTAAATTTAAAAAAAATTCATTTAAAATTTTGTATTTATACATTTTTAAATAAAATCGAAAATACATTTTTTCTTTTGTAATTTTTTGTGTAAAGTTAAGGTTTTTGTATGACGTATTAAACATTTGAAATTTAAAAACATTTAAATTGACCTATAAAGTAAAATCCATTTTCATGTTTGCCTTTAATTAAACGTACGGGAATCTACTAATAAATGTATTAGGTTTACAATGAATAAATTTGACATTTTCATTATTTTTAATAATAAAACATTTTACAATCCGGATTCGAGCTAAAGCGCGCTCTGCTAAAAGCAAAAATAAAACGAAAAAAAAAATAAAAATCATAGACCATGGTCTGTGATGAAAAACATGTGTGCACACCAGTTTCAAAATACATAACATTATTTGTTTATTGTAAATAAAAAATTTAAAAATATATTTTTATTTCATAACGACCTATTCATACACAACCTTTGAAAGCCCATTATACTATACCTAAATATATAATATAATATATTTACTGTTGACAAGTAATGATTTTATTTTTTTATATTAATAAATTGAGTTTTATTAAGTAAAAGTAGAACTAATTAAATATTTTATTCTTTTTTATTTTTATTATAATTTATTTACAAAATCAGTACTAGAACAATAACCCTATTGTTAGAGGAAAATTAATGTTTTCTATTGACTACAAAGTATTGAATAGTAGTACAAGCCCAGAATCATATCATATGGCCAATATTTTATTTTTTACATTATTTTAGACAATATTGGTTAACACTAGGGTGGAGCGAATTTTTTTTCCTTAGCCTGGGGGTGGAATTTGTAGCCAATAAAAAAGAAAATTTTTGAAATAAAAAAAAAATTTACTCAACGTCTTAAGGTAAACTGATTTTTTAAATTAAATCTAAGTTAAAATTCTTTTGAATAAAAAAAAAATTTTTTTGGCTTGTAATCTTCAAATTTATCTAAAAATTAACAAATTCAATCGTGTTCAACTCGAAATTCGCTCTATTGCCTCAGAAAAGCATGTTACTATTTTGGAAATTTTTTAAAAGCAACAATAATGACCACAAAAATTTTTTTAAGTTCATAACTGTTAATTAGCAAGAAAGAGGACACTCCGCAGTTTCCGGAACACTTTTGAAAAAAAAATTTTATTTAAAAGAATTTTAACTTAAATTTAATTTAAAAAATCAGTGGGCCACCTCAAGACGTTGAGTAAAAATTTTTTTTTTCAAAAATTTTCTTTTTTTATAGGCTACAAATTCCACCCCCAGGCTAAGGAAAAAAAATTTCGCTCCACCCTAGTTAACACAAAAGAAAAATCTATTGAATTTAACTATTATAATAATAATAGTTGTATTCAATTGATTTTTCTTTTGTGTTTACCAATATTGTCTGAAATAATGTAAAAAATAAAATATTGTCCAGGCCAAATAATATGATTCTGGGTTTGGGAATGGAGTTTTATCAAGAAAAGGTCGAAACAATATATATATATACATATGTATGTATGTACATATAAAAAAAATTCTTTACATATTCAGTATACGCAAGCAAGAAAACTATTGTTAATGCCTTAAGAAAGACAGAAATGAATTTATGTGTTCCACTACCAGAAGAGGGGAGTTTTAAGACAGAAAAAAGTGGGGAATATTCCTGCAGGAACACTCGGGAGAAAGGTTATTTATTAATGTCCATCGGAATTCAAGGAATTTTCGCACCCCTAGAAAATGTGATGGAGCAATCAGATTCGGTTTCAGCGAACCCGAAATAGGAAAAATACATTGGTCTACTTTCTGGCACTTGTTTTTTGTGTCAGCTTGTCAATGTGCAAGTATTTTATAAATGCATACCTATGTAGGTATATAAAATATTTATTTTTAATAATATTAAGAAAAAATAAAACTACTAAATAAAAGAATTTCTACTTAAAAATGGTCAGAAAAATGTTTGATGACCAATATTTTATTATTTATTTATTTATTATAGGAATTAGCTACCAATTGTTTTATTTATAAGCCTATAAAAGAAATTTTGGGTCATATTTTTGAATTATGTTTTACAGACATTTTAATTTGATGATATTTGTTTTTGTTAGCCATTAGCATTAATAAATGAAAGTTAAAATATTTAAATTAATTAACTAATCTTTAAAATATAGACATTTTTGCATTTAGTTTCAAGTTTTTTTATGGCATTTTTTTATAGAATGTTTAAAACAAAAACATAAATTGTTTTTACTAATCCTACTAGGTAAAATGGACGGGAAAATAATTTAGTGTTACATTTAAAATTTAATATAATAATATTCAATTTAGATTTATAAAGGATTATAATACAAAACACAGACGAATCTATTGTTTCATATATTTTATAAATTATTTTTAAAATAAACGAACAATACGTATTGTTTTATAAAAATTACCACGAAAAATACATATTTTTAACTGCGTAAATTTGGTTTTGTATTTAGAATAAAAAACCCCAAAAAAACTTACTCGTTATAATATTCCTTTTTGAAGGCATCAAAGTAGGGCGCGTCCAACATGTCGATGGGTTTTCTGAATCGTATTTTTTCACACACAAATCGAATCCAAATTGAAAATTGGTCGTCAAATCGTCTAAGCACGTAGAGCCGGCCCACGTGCGCGAAAAATGTACACGTGTCAACTGTCGCTCGCGAACAAGAACGTAAAAGAATCGGAGCGGGCCGCGAGATTGACAGCCGTCGACGATGACGTACGCAACTGTCAATCATGCGTGCGGCACCCAGGGATTTATGAATTTTTGATTGGTTCGCCCAAGCGGGGATTTTAAATACACCTGATTAAACGTTAGTTTCAATTATGCAGTTTTATACATACATTTATTTACGTCCCCAGGTGGAAACCGAAGTCATAAAATTCCCTGGAACCAAGTCCTTATCCTCGCCTACGATAAGAATTAATGTAATTTGTATTTTGCAGGAAAACTTTACTGCAGTTGTGCAAAACAAACTTGTTTTGCACCGTATTTTATCTGTTCGAATAAAGAATTGTTGTTCTCGTATATTTTCTTGACCAAGGAGGGTGTGCACTGGGGAAAAATTGATTTTTATACCCGTATAAAATTTAAAAAAGTTTCCACTCGCAAAACTTAAAAAGGACTTTACTGCAAACTGAGTCACTTACGTTTTAAAGTACAGAAAACTTTATCATAACTATATTTTTTTAACAAGTTATACTTGAAAACGTCAGCAAGGATATCTCTGCTCTCCTTAAAATATGGAAAATGTCTTCATTTACCTCGCAGTGCTACTAAAATGTTTTATTTTTTTATTATTTTTTCTAGTCCCACCTTTAAAATGCCCATTATCGTACATGTTTTCAGGACACTAAGTGACCTTTTAAATACACATTGAAGTTTTGATTTTATGGCGCTTTAGTCACGGGCTGAAGTTGGCAAAAAGTTTTTAGTCACGGGCTTTTGTTAGTTTTAAAAATACAAAAGTATTAAATATTTCTTAACGCCAATATTTAAAAAGATTATATGAACGTTTGAACTAAACTTTTGATTTCGCAGTAGTTACCTTACTAGATTTAACTTAATGTTAAAAATTTTGCGTACAGTGCCCATAAAACATTCTCTTCCCTTTTACTGTGAAAAACTGCTTCTATATTAATTGCTAGTTTATTTTAAAGGAATAAATTTTGATTTACAAAGTAAAATTTATGATTTTAACACCAGTGGATTCCCAAGTTAGAAATTCTACCGGGAATTCCAATAAATACAAGTTTTTGTACCTTTATCATTTCCCGTGTAAGAGTTTTTATTATTTTGTGATATTTTGCAATTATAGTAATACAAAAATTAAAGGATAATATATTATTTACATTTTGAATTTGATATTTGATATTTTAAAGTTATTTTAATATTTTAAAGCATCAATAATTTTTAAGTTTTTAAATTAAAATAAAAATAATAACGGACAATGTTGGTGAAAATTACGTCAAAAATGTTTCTTGGGATGGTTACTTTATTTTTATACAAATATTAAATTTAAATTATTTTTTTAGATAAAATTAAGTATTTGTCGTAAGTAATATCATAAGGGCATTTAATTTTTCCGAAAAGAATCGAAAAAACACGTTGCTAAGTAATATTTTAACAAAAAGCATGAGTGCTGGTGGCAACAAAAATCCGAGTCAAAAAAGAGGATTTTTGCACCTGCACGAATGCATTTTGTTAAAAAATATTACTTAGCATTGTGTTTTTTCGATTTTTTTCACAGGAAAAATTAGATGCCCGAATGGTATTTGACAAGACTATTTCATGAGTAACATTTAACAATTAAAATATAAATTGCAATTTTTGGTGACAACAGCTGTCAAGTTTTGCCGCGGGTAAACTCGAATAAACTGCTGACAGGTGCTGTCACACAGTTTTTTCACCTAGAAACCATTTGTAATTCAAAATTGCGCGTTTGTGATTGGTGGAAATTAAGACGAGGGAAATAGTCGTAGAAAAAGCTCGCTAGTGCCTAAATTAAATTCGTGACTAAAATGGAGTTTATAATGTACTATTAATTTAATGCAAATAAATAAAATTTTAGTAAAAATATAAGGATATGACTAAAATATTTTGATTTAAAAAAAGGTTTTATATTTAATAATAATACCCCGTAAAAAAGTAAATTCGAAAAATTAAGATATACCTACAACCGATTATTTTATAATAATTTTCTAATAAAGGATTAAACTTTTTACAAACAAATTATGCATAATAATATTTTTAAATTCATCAACTTGGGAATTTTTACCCACATAGACCTTTTCCAGAAGCAATATACTTTTTTAGGTTGAGCTTTCCTAGACTAGACTTTTCAGAAGAAAATAATTTACTTCATTTTTTTGTCACGATTGTAATCGACAATTTGATGAAATTAAACGAAATGTAACACGGTTAGGCGCTTTTTTCAGGCATCTGGAACAATTCCAGACGAAATCGATTTTGCAAGAATTCAACTCGATCGGTCTGCGTCTGGTACACACATCACGTAGCCTCTTTATATGAACATTAAATTTTTAACAGATACGTTTATTAGAAATAAAAACATAAAGGCATTATCTTTTTTACCATTTATTGTTTAAATCCCATTAAATGAAGAGATTTCGTTGATATTACCGACAAAAAAAACAAACGATTGTCACGGAAACTGCAGAGCACCTTTGATGTAGAAATTGCAAAGTTTTACGCGTTCCAATGTGACAATGGCACGTTTTGCCTAAATGTATTTTTTTTTAAGAATAAAAATCTTTTACTGAGCAATTTTATAGTAGTGTAGAATATTACCTACGTGAAACTTTTTCAATTTGACAAAACCGGGTTTTATTTCTTAAAAACTATTTCTTACTTTTTAATTAAACTACATAATTGTTTAATTTAAAGTTGGACAGTAAAAAAGCAATTTTTATAACTTTTGTTTAAAATTAATTAGTTTTTAGGGCTAGTTTTAAAAGATGTGTGTTTTATCTATCTTTATTTTTTTGTCAATTAATCATCAGTTTTTTTGGATACTTTAATCAAACAAACTGAATAGGGTATAGTACTTTATCTATTTTGCGTTTATAATGACTTCATTATAACACCGCTTTCGGTGCTGTAATGAGATACTTTATCCCACCCAAAATTTTGATTTTATAGGTTGGCTATACTTTAAACTTTTGCATATTGGTTATAATATTTTTATGATTTTTCTAGTACTTACGAGACTTTTCTGGCAATAAATTTTGTTTAGCACCAAAGAAAATCCTTTTTTTCTTCTTTAATATTAACAGCCTCTTATTGTAAATAAGTAAATTAAGGACGGAATGGCGAATCCATTTTGACATTAACTGTCAAACCAATGACTGTGATACCAACCATCTATAGATGGTTTATAAAGTAAAATTGAACCAAATTAAATTTAAGGTATAAAATTAGTTTTTGTATGGAATTTTTGCAAAATAGATAAAATAGCATAAAGAACTCATATCATAAGACGTCTTTTGACATTAGTTCTTTAATATACCATTTCAAGCAGAACATTGCGGAGAAAAAGGTAATGGGAGTTGATTTTATACTTGATGCATAAATAGCGATATTATTATTTTTTCATTTTATTACATTACATACAAATTTCCAACTAATTTTAATTTTATTTAAATTTAAGTTGGCGGCATATGGAAAACTATTGTAATATTTATTTTATGAAAAAAGTAATTCTTTATCATTTAGGGGGTTTGTTAAAAAAGTAAGTACCTTTATTTTGACAATATGAAAAAGTATTACAAAGAATTATTCAGAAAGGATATTTACAATTAAAAATAAATTTCAAATATTCAACATTCTTTATAATAATTTTCGATTTTTCCAAAAATAAAGGAGCAAAAATCATATTTTTTGACAAACCTCGTATCTGACGGATACTTTTTTTTTCATTAAATAATACAAGAGTTTGAAGTGTAAACCAACAGTTTCATTCATAATTTAATTGAATCGGTGAGATTAAGAACAGTACAAGTCTAAACTTTTTATTTTGAAAAACCATTCTCTAAAATCAATTTAAAAGTTTAAAATGCATTTTTGTGAGAAGATATAAATCATTTTATAAAAAAATGATTATTATATTTTATTAATTAGTTAAAATGTTCTCACAAACATGCATTTTTAACTAAAATAAAACTGATTTCAAAACTATAAAACTGATTTCAAAATTTTAACTTTTGGACTTGTACTGTTAATGTCACCGATTCTATTATAAAAGCATTTTGAATAAAATACCGCATATTTGTTAATTTAGAAACTGGTTTAACAGATACCGAGTTTTGAGTTTTCATTAATAATAGACTTTCCTTGTCAAAGGCTAGTTTATTTCTTGTTAATATGACTTATTTATATAAGTTATCTTAAACAACAAAATGCAGAACAAACCACCATTGTATTTTAATATAACCGATGTTTCAAATTCCTTTTCAAGCAAAAATACACAAAACAAACTTTTATAGTTGACACTGACAGTACATTACATTGCATGCTTTAATTAGTATATACCTACTTATGGGGCAATCCATGCCAAATCACCGAGGTTTTGACCCGACCCCCTTCGATTTCGCTGAAACTTTTTTATCATTTTCTATCCTACCAAAGACATTTTTCTGAATTTTTTCAGATTTTTTTACCCGACCCAAAAAAAGTTACGAATTTTTGAAAAAAACCGCTCTTTTTTTTTAAAATTGCAATAACTTTTTCACAAATTGACCTTTCGGCACGTTTTTTTTTTTGAAATTTTTGTTTTTAAATGTAGTTTTCAGAAAAAAATACAAACAATTTTTCGGAAGTCACGATATATGAAATATTTCAGTTTTTTCAATAAAACCGTCATTTTTTCGAATTCTGAAACCTTCGATTCTCAATTTTTTTGTCTCAAAAAAAACTTCAACTAAGACAGTATTTAACTCCACTATTCCCATTTTGTGCCGACTTTCCATTCTATTGTTTTTTTTTTCGATTGAAAATAAAGAAATTTCTCAATTTGGCTTATATTTTATGACTTTGCTTTGAGGTTTTTTTTATTGTTTTTAAAAGCTCAGAAGTTGAATAAAATTTGATAAAAACAACCGTAAATTTTGTATTAGGGTATTGTTTGATTGAAAATAAAGAAATTTCTCAATTTGGCTTATATTTTATGACTTTGCTTTGAGGTTTTTTTTATTGTTTTTAAAAGCTCAGAAGTTGAATAAAATTTGATAAAAACAACCGTAAAT